TCGTGATCATGCGAGTAATTGTATGAAGGCACAATGGATTGCTGATCTCCTGCGGCGCTCGACTCTCCTGGAGTCTTTCTCAGCTCATATCTTTAACTGGGATTCCCAGTGTGACTGGTGCCGCTTTCAGGTGGAATACTGGCAGGGTATCTGGATAAGCCAATTTCCTCCTCGTTTGAAAAACCTTCGTCTTCAAGGATTTTTTGGCGATAATAACAGCGATGTCCAGGAGGTTTTTTGCAGGTATGAACAGCTGTGTAGTTTAAGTGTCCGATGTGAATCTCAATCGCGCTCGCGCAGTATGTCAATGTTTCTGAATGTTTCTTCTGTTTCTTTGAGACGCCTTCACATCTCATTGTGTGAGATGTGTACATGTGAGAACGCAGAAGAATACCTCGGAAAAATATGCCATCTCCTCCCATCCCTCACTCATCTTTCTCTCACGGAGGTTCTTGAATCCTGCCCACAGTGCAGGTGGAACAAAAGCTGCACCGGCGTACTCCGGTTCTTGCTGGCTTTTAAAAACCTGCACAGACTGCGCTTCCAGATTCATGGCTTCTTTGGACGTGTCGAGTCAGGAGGGGAGGTACGTGCACACAGAAGTGGACGCAGTTATACCGAAGAGTTGGGGCAGCTGGCCTTCCAGGATGATTACTTCTCCGGTAATAGTTATGTCGAAGAGCTGGGGCAGCTGCAGCCATGGTGGTCAGCGTTGAAGGTGATCGATCCTTCTCATAGTGCAATCAGACTCAACTCTGGACTTGCTCACAACATGCACACTTGAGAACCGATGGCAAGACTGAACTCTTTCAACTCAAAAAAAACAACAATGAACTTGTCTTAAACTCAATCTTAACAGCTGCACAACTTGCGGCTATGGCCGCCGAACACGGTCTCTACCACCAGCCTCACTCTCTCCCTCACTGTCTCATGCGTGCACGTACRAGGATCACCCTGAATGTCCCCACTCAGCACAGCCTYACACACTCTGAACACTTGTCTTCACCAACAGCTGGGCGGCTATGGCCGTCGTCGTCTTCCTCCTGCTGGCTATGGCCACCGACATCTACCCCACTGGCCAGCTATGGCCGCTGTCTTCTTCACTGCCCACTTCGTCTCCAGGCACCTGCAGACCTCCATGCACAAGACACCAAGGCAGCTCTTCYGCATGGCTCACAGGCGAATGAATGAATGGYTGGACGCTGCCTGTTTATTTATACTTCTTCGGAGGTACCCGGACCCTGCCTCCAGACCTGTGGGCCTGGGCCAAAACGTGTGGCCCAGGGAAGCTTCCAGACGTTTG